TTGCTGAGGGTGAGGAGGCTTGGAGGAGCCTTTTAAGTCTTTGGGGATGCAACGCTTCAAAGGGCTTTCCCTGAATAAAAAAAATAAATATACACGCTCACATTCACTCAAAAGCAGAAATATGCTCTGTAGAGTGACTGAGGAATCACGGTATCATCCCATTTCATGCTAGAGTTGAGGGTGCCGCTACCCCACAATTATTCACACAGGTTTCACAGTATTCATTTTTATCAGTGAATTAAGCATTAACTTTGATAGAATTGTAAACTAGAACAGACATTTCTTTTATAGATATAGATGTTTAAATAAAACAAGATAAGATCAAATAACACAATGATAACCAGACTTTTACAAGGGGTTGTTCAAAGTGACGAACGCACAGAGAATTATCACAAGCTCACCAGCAAAGATATCAGCTAGTTGATAAACACAGTGGAGAACGTATTTAGGTCATTACATGTTCCAAAAGGTCGTATGCTTGGTTTAAGGGGACAGGCGCTTAAATGGAGCGTTTCAGACATACATACATATATTTAGGACAATCTGCGATATATATATAAAACAACGTTAATAAACAACGTTACTTTAACTAGCTAGCAAGCTACTACTGATCAATTCTGATCACGACGGCAAAACGAATGGAAACTATTATGCATTTTTGTGAGGTAAACCTTGTCACCTTGTTTGCACGCAGTCAGCGGAAAGCTGGACAGGTGTGGCGACGGTGAGTTACGGGAGCAAAGCTTGGGCAGCAGCTTATACATTTAGCATTGCCGCAGATCTTCTGGTCAGGAGGAAAGACTCTCCTACGGCACACATCTTCGCGAAAAGTGTTAGCAACAAGAGCACTCCCTGCTCCCTGCTCGCATATTTTCACATCTATTCAGCCTCACCAAGAGCTCCCATCACAGAGAGCCCGCAAAGGTTTAAGGTCAAAGGTCGAAGGCTGAAGGCAGCAAAACCGAATTAATAGTCAATTCACTAATGCTGGCTCGCAGTGACTGAAAAAAAAAAGAAGCGAGCTAAAGCAATTAACCTTCTGTCCCTGATGTGATGTGTGGGCAACTTAACGAGGATGTTCTCTGCTTTTAATTAGTCTCAAAAGCCGCAGAGCCAAACCAGGATTAAAAGTTTTTTCCAGGTGAAGTGGAGCAGTGACAGGAACGTGAGAGACAACTGAAATCAGTGTCCAGATTGTGGAGTTTGCATTAGAGCGCACCTCGATGTGCAGCAGGTCCTTTATCTGCCGACTGCAATAACGATTCATATCCAAATTCAAATTTATATTATTTATGCTGCAGCGAAATGCCTGCAGCCAATAAGGAACGGAGCGAATAATGTTGATGCCGGCAGACTGTGTCGTGACCCCCCAGTAATATTCAGTAAAATGTAATATTAAATAATAAAGACCATGCAGGCCCGGCTGCCTGTGCATTGCTGCTTGAGTTGTTGTTCACGACGGCTCAGCGGTTATGAATTTTGAAGCAGTTATTATGAGCGTGAAAATAGAGCTGTGAGGTGATTACAGCAGGACGGGCTTATAATTGTTTGTATCCCTTTAGTTTTAAGCCTAAAACATCTGTATACATTGTATTTATTTGGACTTTTAACAAATATCACAACATAATGACTTGGTTATCAACCGTAACAAACACACAATTCCCTCTCAATGTGGTTTCATCGATGTTTATACATACAGTAACATTGTGGTCCGCTTCTTATAAGTAGAGCAATAAAACTTAAGTGCAGGGGTGTGGACGTGCAGCGTGTACGGCCACACATAGTTCCTGCTGAGGGGAAGTACAACTTAGTGTGAGCGTGAATAGTGCGTTTTGTCAGTTCACACGGACAATATAAGCAAGGCTTTAAACTCCCACTTCCTTAATTTCTCTCTGATTTATAGAATCCTTTGGAATAGCCCACTTCATTCCTCATAAAATACAACAAACCACAACTCCACATCCCCTCAGCTCTGTTAATAACTGTATAGATATTCTTTGAGGGACCTTCCAATAAACTGAGCTAAAGAAAATACAATAAATAAGTCCAACAAACAACAGAGCCAAAAGCGGTCATGAATATATGAATATATTATAGATGTGGCATCAAGTTCATTCTTTCATCACCGTGGAGTAAGTCCAGTCAATTTAACTGCACTGTGAATCTTCTTTTACTTTTTCTAATGCTGCAATAATATAAACCGCTGCAGTATTTCTGAATACAGGGTTGGAAAGTTTGTGTAAACTTCTGTATTTTTCCGATCCAACTATCCAACTGATAAGAACGACTGCAGATTGCAAAGAATGGCGTTCTGCTTGTTTTTTTTATTATACAACGAGGTGTAACACACTGATGGATGAGGCAAATGTAGCCAGCTGTGTGCTTTAGAGTTAAATCCGGCCTTGTAAGCAGAAGACTTGACATGTGTTTCACAGCAGTCGACTTAGAGGACCAACATGTAAGTGTTGGAGTCTTTTACCATGCAGGGAGGGTTTCAAAAAGAGACACTCGAGTTGCATTATGGGAAGTGTACAATCGGACAGTTTGAGAGCGACTTCATTCAGACATCACGCCACAGAATTTAACACATTGTTGTTTACCCCTCTATGAATTATCTTAGTGTTAAAAACAGATCCTTTAAATGGCCGTTCTAGTTCATTTTTCTCCAACCATCTCTTGTGAATGTGGTGGAAATGCAAATTTGTTCAATTTTTCAAATGAATGCCTATAAAGCAGGCTGACTTATAGTCTGAGAATTCAATCATCACAGTTATGAGAGAGCACAAACAAGCTATTCCCCGAACAGACAGCTGAAACTGCTGTAATGAAGCTTTGGCTTGACACGTCTGTCTCTGCTGGTAGTTTGAGTGAACGGATGGAATCCTCCCAGTAACACATGTAATTCTGGGTTGAACCGAATGAGATGCAAATAAAGACGAGCAAAACGCAATAGCGTCTTTCGAAATGATGCTTGTTAAATAATTGAATGTGTAATTTCTGAGAAAGGATCATTCTTATCCTCAAGCAAACCGCTGGCAGCAGAGGAAATGTCTGGACTGGTGTGTGGCTTGAATGGCTGACAGCAACGTTCTGGATTTTGTGATATTCCACTGATGTACTGTATGTTGCCATGAAACCCTTGAGTGTTTCGAGAAAGAAGTAACGGTTACACACAACTATGTGATTGATTCCTTGCAGCTCCCTCGGTCTGTAAAATAAAGAGCCTGATAAGAGAATTCCAATGCTATGATTAGCAGTCTTGAGTATTTAGATTCAGCTCAACGGACTGACATGACATCACCAGTGGACAAAGAGATGTTTATGAGTGTGATGTTTAAGTGTGTGTTCTTGTGTGTGTGTGTGTGTGTCAACATACAGGATGTGTGGTGATGGATAATCCTGGAATGCACTGATATGTTGACACACATTACCCAATGTTTGTTTCCAAAGTGAAAAAAAACAGTCACGTATTCTGTCTGTGAGTCCAGTACTTTTGGGATCTTTCTACGCTGCCGTCACGATACGAGCTTTTAATTCAGGCCATATCGAATCATGCCAGCTTATGCCGTCCTATGGAAGCCCTGCGTGACTCCTTCTTGCTGCGGCTCTTCGTCATCTGTAGATCACGGAGCAGCGTGAAGCGAAGCCTTTTGCTCTTTTTCTTTAAAAAAAATATGTTTTGAGGTTGATTTCACAATCTCCCTCAACCTGGCTGTGTATTTTTGACTGTAATTGAAAGAATATTGTTTAAAAAATCACCCTGGTTGACGTCTGTGAGCCCAAATTTACCCCTGAGAAAGGTTTCTTTCCATTGGAGATGGTACTATATTAAAACTGCATTATTTAATGGATTATTTCATATATATTTTGTTACTTTGTGGCAGCAGAAAAAATTATGAATGAAGTGTTGGCAACAACTGCCTATTTTACACACTCAGCAGACAAGGAGCAGCCTTGGCAAACATTTGGAGTTGTGTTTCTGAGCAACAGACAAATCTAAATCAAATATTTTGTCATGCCTCTGTTTGGTGTCTGGCAACCTCTGGCTCTTTGGCTACTAGGTGCTCTGTCTTTGTTCACCAGCTGGTTCTTGACTTTTTGTGTTTGAGCTTTGTTGCTGCTCATGTAGCGTTCATCAGACATTTTTCTTTCAGAGTTAATGATCCAACAGAGTAAAGCTGGGGTCTAGAAAATTGATTCCTGCACCCTTTGAGGTGGTACATTGTTGGTTAAACAGGAAAATGATTCCCTTTGCTTATTCCTTTAACAACATAGCCATTTGATTGATAGATTATACAGGGAATGAAAGGCAAGTGAATTCCTGGGTGTCCTGCTTCTTGTCAGTACGCTGTTTATCATGTGGTCATTCTCTGTCGCCGCTCCGCTCCATGACTGAGGGACTGAGATGTGCTCCGGATGTCCTCACATTTTATCGTGAAAATCAAAGCGTTTTTTGGGTTGGCCAACTATTTGCAGTTTTTTGCACTGAATGAAAACCTGACTGCCTGGAAGGAGAGTTCTTCCCTCTGTTTTACTCCCTTCTTTATATATATATACATGCATGTGTATTTGGTACTAATATTTCTGCAAATATTTGTTCCCTAAATTCCCTAAACCTGAACCAACCTAAGCCAACCCGAAAACATGACACCAATGATGTGAAATATTTTGTAACCGTAGTCCTGTATAACAGTAGTATAACTGACTCAGGTTTATCTTCAGCTTCGTGTGAGTCTGTGTGTGAAATCAATCATTTAAATGGTCAAAACATTGAAAAGTCTTCCACTTTGACGTTGACTTCCACCTCTGGCTCACAGTCAACGTGGTGCTTTAGGCGCTGGTGTAAACAGATGAAGAGGCTGTCTGACACTTCCAAACAACCCGGGCAACGGTGGTAATATATCAACCTCACAAAGATACACACACAAAACAGCATGGGCACAATAATGATAATAATAATTCGCAGAAAAAATTTTTTAGATAATAAACCAAAGACCTACCAAGAAAAATGATGATCTGCCTCCTGGCTGTCTTGACCTTTGAACTTTCATGCTTGGGCTCTCTCGGACTTCCTTGGACGGGGCCGTCCATGGACTGCAAAGGTTTCTGAAGGACGAGGACCATGGCCCGGCACATGAAGACCACACAGATCAACACGACCATGTAGACAATGAAAGCCAAAAAGATGCTGACTCTGTACATCACCCAGTGCTCCCTCAGGTTTGTACAGAAAGTCAGATTCTGGACCGGTGTCTCTGCCCGGAAGGGAATGTGTCCCTGTGTTCCCGTGGCAACCAGCAACGGCAGAGCCACGAGCACGGACACCACCCAGGCAAAGGCGATCAGGGCCGAGGTACGTCTGCCGCCCAAGGCTTTAAAGCGGAACGGGTGACAGATAGCCACGTAGCGTTCGAAGCTAAGCGTGGCCACGTTGAGGATCGTGGCGTAGCTGCAGGCCTCGAACAGGAAGTTGTAGATCTTACAAGAAGCGTTGCCTTCTGCTGTTGAGAATGGAAACCAGATAGCGCTGTAGAGCTCCACCGGCATGCCGATGAGGAGCACCAGGAGGTCCGAGCACGCCAAGCTAACCATGTGGTCGGTGACGTTCTTCTGCAGGTAGCCATTACGCTTCAGCACTTGAGTCACTCTGATGGTGACCGAGTTCCCCACGATACCCGTCACCAGGATGAGGCTGTAGAAGATTGTCAGGAAGATTTTGACGGAGTAGTTGGGTTCAAGCTTACTCCAGTCTTTGTCTATTTCCTCATTCATGGTTACGGAGGGGTGAGCTCTGATTTCCCCGGTATTGATTCTGTCCTTATCAGGTCTGCTGGGCGAAATCTCTTACCGCCAAGAACCAGAAGTGAGCTGGTTTCCAAGATAACAACTTACATAGCCGGCTCCTCTTTCTGTGTAAAGTAATCCCGGATTTTTGGAAGAGTAGTGTCCCAGGAGAGGTGTGCTCCAAATCACAGTAGGTGCATCCCTCCGTGACGATATATAGAAGAAAATGAGCCTTCTACACTTGGATCTAAATACACAAAAAGTCCAGTGTGTGGCCTCCAGCCGTAGCTCAGCTCCTGATGATCATCTGGGATCCCAGAGAGTCGTCTCAGGTTCTAGTTCAGAGGGGTTGGTTTTACCTCAGTCAGAGCATAGTGTTAGCCAACACCGCTCTCCCACAAATGTCCTCCTCCCGCCAACAAGGGCAGGGCGAAACAGGCGAAACACGTTAAACATTAAACACAAGGAGAGGCAGCGTGAGCGCCGGGGCCTGCTTTCATTGCTTATCAGCGGCACTAATGTCGCCTCACAAACTTTGTTTTATTCAAAGCTCAGCTTCAAAATATGGTGAGTTGTGATATAACTTGAACATTAACAAAAAGCTTGAGTTTGGCAATATAATTCTGATGGTTTCAGATTAACGATCTAAAAGTTTAGTTTGCAGATAATGTTAAAGATATAGCTGCGGCACCCGAGAAGTTGTATTCAAAGAACACAGAATATGACAAAGAACCTGTGAGGGAGCTAAACGTAATGCAAGACACAGAAGTCGAAAAAAATAAGTGCACGGATGTTAAAACAGGAACCGAACACTGAGATAAACCAGACATGGTACTCCACAGAGTACCTGAACTCCTCCACATACAAAGCTATGCTTTGGTGAATGCATTTGGGTGGTTGAAAAAGTATTTGTATTTCAAAGATTTACTGTATTTTCTTTGTCGCGAGCAACGCTGGATGCATTGATATATAAAGCAACATTTCACACCTTCAGAATAAGAACATTTTCCAAGACATCTTCACACACACAAAGCTGATGTCTGCTGGTTGAAAGTTGTTGAATAAAAAGTGTATCCTCCCACTCTGATAGTCCGATAGCATCAATCCAACTAGGCGTCTTGCACGGCATCACATTGTCAGCCAGATGTTTAGTCCAAAGGGGCAAAGAAAATCAAGGTTGAATGTCATGATAGTCTGCCTCTTTGTTTATGCCTGAGATCTTATTTTAATGTCTGCCGTGTGTGTGCGTAATTACATAGAGCCCGACAATGCCTTAAATAATATCTCAATAACAAGGTGCTCAAGTGTTGGAGAGTGCATGAAATTGTCTTTGTGACTTTGAGAGAAACACATCACAGGCATTAATGTATCGCATGCTAGAAATTGTTCAGAGCTGCTAGATAGAAATTAAATAGCTACAATAAAATGCTTGACATACACGAGAGGAGCCTACTTACACTTTGCATAACCAGTTGTGCGTTGGAGAGACGGGGACAATTTTTAGCCGAGATAAGTGGTATTTATACTTTACCAAAAAAGGAAATGGAAGGATGTCGGTGGACAAAACATACTCACTTCAGTCTCCGCTTGACACGGAACATATAAAGAGGGACACGCTAAGTCTACTTGTAAGGCCTCAGGGAAAATATATTCACTCTACACGACCGAACATGCCGACTGCTTCACGTTGTAGCAGGTTTGACTCGACGTTTAGGTCTTTCGTTGGAGCATTATTGCATTTGGTTGAAAGCGACGCATTGTTTGCAGATATTCAGCAGCACAATTGGAGTTCTTCAAGGTATTCTTTGGCCTATCTGAATTCATAGCAATCGTTCCAAATTACAGACTCAAAGGGATAAAAAAAAAAAAAAGATATTTATATCAAAACAGAGATTTCTTTTCATTCAACTTAATGAAAGAGAATATTTAAATCCTTTGGAAACAGAATGGTCCCAAAGATCTGGATGTGTGCGAATGGGGCTCTTCTTCTCAAAACACACTCATTTTATTTTTAGGCAACCATAATAAAATATATGTTAGTGACTCGAAAGAAAAGGGCTGGGTCCAAAATCATTCACTCTGTGCACTTCATTAAGTGTCCGAAATGACAAAGATATTGCAAAGTGGAACAAAAAAGCACTTCCTGCAGCTACCTTTGTTCCAAGGTTCAGATGTTCATATCATCTTTGTATTGGACATTGTTAAAACCCTGAAATTAGTTTCCTTTAGACATCGACTGTTCTACATCGCAGTAGGTGAGCAAATGCATGCAAATCAAAGAACAGATGCTGCTGCTTCAACCCATCTGAGCAACAGAAATGTGATCCTGAATCACCCCATTTAACACAATGATTTAAAAAGAGAGGTTTTAATAGTGTAAGTATTAAAGCAGACTTACAAAATAAAAGAATTATTCAAGAGTAAAGGTTGATGAAAGGGAGGTTACTAATAGACATCTTAATATAACATCTTCATTAATGACACTTAAAAGAGAAAGAAAGAAAAACAAGACGGTACCTGAGAAAGAAAGAAATCATATGATTCCACTGCAGTCTAAGCAGAGGTCTAATCATCCTAAAAAAAGCTTTTATATGAAGCAACTGTGATTGGTAAAAACAAAGGCAGTAATACAATGTACATGAACCAGTTTAAATATGTCACTTAAAGTGCTCAACCTGTTGATTCATCCTCACAGGACAGTTATCACTTCATCCGTCCACTCAATTCTGAGTGCAACAAACACAACTCACTTTTCACAGGACGTGGAATAACATTTGCTTTTCCCCTTCGACTGTTGTGTGTACATGCTGGATTACACGTCAGACACCGAGGCTGCAAATAGAAATGCTGTCTTCTCATGGAATCAAAAACAGTTAATTAAGTCAATTCATCCAATTTGCTTGGAAGAAAACCGCAGTCGAATCAATGGGATATCATCTCAGCTGCAAGTAATTTGGCCGTCATTTTACAATAACACAGAAAATACAAAACGCTAAAAATAAAATCAGAGACAGAAATCTGTAGTGGTCATCTGACTTTCACAAAGAAAGCATCAATACTCGTTGATGCTTCACTGTGTAAAGTATTCACAACCATTTTGAACAATGGCATTGGCTCATTCGAGCAGACAGCCGTTATTGCAGCACGGCGTTTTGTAGCTTATAGCTGAAGGTTATTATGAATTCATCTTTAAGCACAAAGGTCATGTTTCTATCACAGTTTGTCTTCATGATCCAGCACTGTCAGAGGTACAAATGGAACCAAGAAAGCCGTCCAAGGCTTTCAGCTGTTCTTCATGTCCGACTTACACAAGGATTTCTTCACAACAGAAAAGTAAAATATATATATATTTTTTTAAAGTAGGATATTTCCCGGGTCACTGTGAAAGGGTTTTGACATTACCCAAGCTGCCTGCCGAGGCTGAGTGACACAAACTCATCAACGTGCTGCGTTTCTTGACAACAATGCGGTCGCATTGAACCGACTCATCACGTGACGAGTGTCAGATGGCTGAAGTATGAAAAAGTTTTCACCGTCAAAGGCTGACGAATCAAACATAAACCGTTTACTCACACGTGTGACAGATTGTCCTTTGTGAAGCCACACACACACACACACAAACTCTGACAAACAAGCAGCAAGGCTCCGAAGGGCCTCCAGACTAACACGCTAACGACCGGAACATTATTCCGGTCGGATGTGAACTCCGAACACTGATTTCAGATTTTTAAAGAAACACTCGGTTACTCTGCAAGTGTTATAAACAAGTTTGAAATGTACCGTTTCATTTGGTCACATGACAATATAGTAATCACTCATAAAGTCCAGCACCTTGAGGACTATGAGGTTGTTTTTTCTTTACAAAGAAATAATTGAAAAAAAAAAAGTAAAAAAAATTGAATATCAGTCTGTGATGACTGGAATGTGAAAATAAAAAACCAACTTGTAGAAATGGATGTGTCGCCTCAACACAGTGGAAAATAAATAGATTTAATAGAAGGCACTGGGGTAGATCAAGGTCTCTGAAGGCTTTCCAGATTGTCTGCTCAGCGGGAAACACATTCGCCACCTTGGGATACAAAAAAGACAAACACTTTATCAGTATTTCTAATGATCTACTTCTATGCTTGGACATGTCTATCAGCTCAGTCATTTATAAATAAAAATGCCAAACATTCACAGCATTCAGCTTCTCCATTATTGGCGTTCACTGCTTTTCTCTTTTCATGGCAGTATACTTTGAACAGCTTTGGGTTATGAGCTGGTGATGCATTTGATTTTATCTGCATAAGATTAAAAACTTTGTTATTTAAGGAAAAATAATAATGAAAGGGATAATCCCCAATTAAATCCCGATGAGTTGCTTGCGTACTTTCCTAAATTCCACTGCTTGCGTTCCTTTCCAATGCCTCGATTAGAAAACACAAGCAGAGTTCAAAATCCCTCCCGCCCCGCTGATAACAGCCTGACTCATCCCACGAACAGTGAACCGACGGCGACGCAGACTTTGTGCGGTGGGTGGTCAATCTCGGATGTTTACGTAGACCTTCCTGTCCCGCTGGTCTTCTGTCCCTCATACTCAGCAACATGTCCAAACACTGAGGCCGTCGGACAAACAGAGTGAAGCAGGGAGGATAAATCCTGAGCTTCATTAACTGTTGCAAAAACATCGTGCTGTTGTTTGTTGGCAAATTCACCACAATGTCATCATTTAATCCCACTAAAAGGTTAAGCTCACTGGGGAGCAGCAGAACAAGTTGACAACAAGACACACGGTCACCCTTCACATTTAACGTGGTGAATGTGTTACTAAATTGTTTCCTATTGAGCTACTTCTGCACTCGTTTGCAATTGTGTTTCTCGGCACTTGACAAATGGAAGACTAAATATTCACTTTCCTACCCACTAAACTCAGCTGCTGGAAACAGAGCTGAGCAGACTCACTGAACAAGAAAAAAACGGAAAGATGCTTCGACGCGGTAAAGTTGAGTGGGAACAGTCTGTGGGTTTGTGATTAGCAGCGGCCACTTTTTTTATTTTTTCCATTTGAAGCTATCATACTTAATAAATGACTTTTTTTAAAGATAAAAAACGGCTTTAGATTAAAATAAAGTTGATTGTTTTCTGAATTACTTTAGGCAGGACGGTTATATTGCGTCAAAGGCAGTAGAGAAGACCTTTCTTTCTTCTTTTGTGGGAATTGTCCTATTTGTGGATTCATGCATGTTTTACTTTATAAACACACAATAACTTGCACATAAAGGGAACACGGGTCAGAGCCAGGTGAGGCAGCGTGATCAATTACTTTGTGTCGGACTGCTGCTTCACGAGCAGAAGCTGGCTTCGCTGGGGGAGAAGGGCTGGAGGGGAATGAGGCTTTCACACTGCTCGCTGTCTTCTGGCAATCTGTGGGCAAAAGGGAGCCGGGTGTCAATCATCATCCCGGCCATCATCTTGACAACTATCATTATTATAATCATCCCTCACCAAATTGGAAAAGGCATTCATAGAAGAGTGGAGAGCATAACTGCAGAGAGCGTAGCCAGCCAAGCATGTACATCTGATTAGGGACTTAACTTAGCGGGGCTGCGAGCTACAAAAGCCTATTGTCCTTGTGAGAATGTCCCAGATAAAAAGACTCTTTAAGTGTGTGTCAGAGTTAAGGTCATTTCATTATAAATAGGTCGACCACCACAATACAATGAATTAAGAACACACTCTTCTACTTAAAAATGCTTTACTGGACTGGAAACCCTTTCATAGAATCGTTCATATTTAGTCAGAGACTAAGAGGACACGAGCACCGACTTCAGTATAAATGAATATGTGCGCATGCCTGTGTGTACAGAGATTACTTGGACTTGATCAAAGCAATGGAATAACCAAAGCAGCATTTCCACCCATTAAAAGGGAGAATTTGCCACTCATTATGTGGATGTCCGGACAGTTTTTTGCCAGTTTTGATCAATGGGGCGCAGCGCTGATCAGCACGTCACACTGCCTGGGATTGAACTGCATTGCATTACCTTTTTATTAAAAAAGGGTCATGATTTGTTAACTCTTCATCTTCTCAGTTGGATTTCTTGACAGTTTAGCTCATAAACGTACACTTTACAGCAGTAAAATCCAGGTCATTCAATCTTTCAGAATATTCTTTGATTGTGAAACCTTTCCAAAGGAAAGATTTATTTGGTGGTCTTTGAAAGGGTTTTTTAATAAACTGGTTCTTTTTTTTGTTTAGTTTTTTTCAAACTAACCGTGTGACAGAAAACGTTCAATAGTTAAGTACATGTACATAGGGCACATATTTAATATGGTTGATGCAGTCAGCTTCATGGCAAATTTCTAAGCTGATGACCACAAATTTGGCTGAGATGTGGTGCGTCACCTGTGATCGCTCTCCAGCATCAAACACTGCAGTACCTCTGAATGCGATGTTTCCGGCAAATGAAGACGTACACTCTCCTCAGCCCGACCAGGACAGGATCCCAGTTGTTGTAGTGGCATAAGAGCGCGGCGATGAAGAACGAGAGGAAGACAGGGACGGCTCCGGCAAAAAACAGCCACGAAAATCGTACCTATCCACGTGCAAACATGTGGAGGATAGTAACTATTACAACTAATGTCCTGATTGAACATTAGATTAATTTATTAGACACAGAGCAAGTTTTAATGTAACAATAAATTTAGCCCCCAATTTAATCACATTACAATATGAACTTAGCATATTAAACAGACTTCTCCTCTTGCAATCTGCTCTAACCGACTGCTTTCAAACTTGTATCTTCAACAGGTTGTGTTGAACATTTTCTTGAATCTCATTTCAAACGGACTCTGACTGTTAAGTACCTGCAATGGAAACACGTACCTTGTGCATGCAAATATCTGCCATAATAGAGAGCGGGATAGTGAGGCTCAATGCCAGAGTCCCGATCAGAGACGATGTGAGGAAACAGCCCCTGTGGAGAGAAAGCAGCATCAAAATCCTTTTTCAAATACGGTGTATTCTCCGAGCGGATTAATCGCTCAACTGCGAGTATCAAAATGTCCTTAATACCAAATGCAGATTGGTTTGGTGCCAGAATTACAACCGGAATAGATAATAAGTCAGGTGCTCACCACAGCCAGAGGAACTCAGACAGAACGGTTCCAATGAGGCCGTTGATGAGGATGTAGGTCCACACCAGCTGGCTGGGGAGCTCAAAGGCCTCGAAGCCCGTGTAGTGGAGCAGGAGGAAGCCGGGCCACAGCAGCAGCAGGTTGAACAGACCCACGAACCCTGAGAGACACACAGCAGCAGAAGCTGAGACACCTCAAAAGACACATGCGCTCCTTCGCACTGGCGAAGAATTCATAAACTAAAAACAACTACAATGTGCCGGGGGTTTAGCTCATGGATAGTACTATAATCAGGACCCATTTTAAAGGTGACCTCTCCTTAAAAGAAAAACTGCATTTTCTTACCAAAGAACATGGGGAGGTCGAGCTTATCTTCCCGGTCCACTCGCCTCTTGATCATTACGATGTAGATGGCGTACAGCACCGCCCCCGCCAGCGACCACAAAGAACCTGCGTGTACAAGTCAATTATATTTGGAAAGAATGTTTCAAAGTATATATTGATGCAACACTATCAGGCGAGAGAGTGATGCAAGTATATCCCTTCAAAATCATGATTAGAAGGAGTGACGGACACTCGCTGTTTCCACGGTTACCTGTGATGCCTTTCCCATCAGGGTTGTCCATGCTGGAGAAACACATGAGGATAACACCTCCCATGCTGAAGAGAAGAGATACAACATGGACTGACTGAACCAAATTCACAGGTAATGGGTCATTTCACAACTTTCATTTCAAAATGACCTCTATCATTGGGACAAAAAGTCCCGTGATGTCCAAATATCGAGCAGCATATCATCCCAGCTTGTTTTTATCAATTAATCTCCAAGATAAAACACACGCTCAATTTAGTGACGGACAAAAGTACAATGTTTTTGTATCTTCCCCCTTGGAATACTGCAACTCTTTTTTCTTTACTGTTTCTTTATAGCATCAGTTCCCCCCACTTTTTAAATGTTTTTCATTCCCAACATCCAAATTATATGAAATAACATTCATCTCCCTGCAGCCCAACCAGGCCACGAACTCTGCACATCTAAACTTTTTAGCTTTTCCACCAACGGTATAGCTTTCTAATTTCTATCATCCATCTTGATTAGATATGAAATTATCCATTTCATATATTAGCTCAGTGCTACAATAACAATATGTTGGATGAAATGAACAATACTGAAAATTAAACTAAAAGGAAATGGTCCGACTTGCGCTGGCCAACGTGAAAACAGTTTATTTTCACTGACTTGTTAAATAAAAAGGCAAACAATCGGGGAAAAACCTATTAACATCTCAACATTAAGACTTGGTATAATGAAATATTAATTGTGCTTCAGGGATGCTGGGAGTTATTAATCTTTATAAACTGATACTGTATTCATATGCAGGTTTTTTGTGTCGGTAGCTATCTGGTTTCCATCGGCAGTCCTAGTAATACTGACCAAAAGTTACTAAAATTAAAACAAGAAAGTAACAAAGAACATTGGAAAAAATTCCCCTCCGGTAAATAAATAAATAAATAAAGAATATGACACCATAATAAACACTACTTCTTCCCCCGAACACATTGGCTCAGCCCTCACCTCAGAGCCACAGCTAACAGTTTGGACAAAGTGAAGCGGTCGCTGCTGTTGCTGGGAAATATCGCTGTTAAGATGAGCGTGAACAGGCCTGGAGAAGCACAGGAGAGAGTCAAGTTCAGTCAAAGTCAAATACATACATCACAATATCACAAATCCTCGTTGAGGCGCTCAAGATGAACGGAGGGCAATCGCACGCTGACCACAAACATTTTCCATTGAACCCGTTAACAACACCGTGTATTGTCCTGACATTTAACAGAGAGAGAAAGAGTCACCTGAGGTGGACGACAGGATGTTGACGATGGCAACCTGCGTGTCGGACAGGGCTTCTTGATAGGACAGGTTGGCCAGGAACCACTGGAAGAGGAACACAAATTAGTCACGCGATATAAATACCATCTGACTGACGGGACAAAGCCGGGATTTCCTTTCTTTTTAATCACACTCACTGTTCCATCTCTAGACGTCCTTGTAGTTTGTTGTCCCATAGAGTATTTCTTAGTCTTAACTTTCCCCAACATCAGACATCTGACTTTTTTTTTTTTTTTTGGGGGGGGGGGGCGCAGACATTAGAAATCTAGAAGCCCGAATATCTGGATTTGTCAGGGAACAGCTCCAATGATGAATCTCCTTTCCCCTTTTATTGCTTTATGCGCTCTCACCTCACTATCTAATAATACGTACAATATCCAAAATATCTCAAATAAAAATGAGAAAAAGAGAAAAGCTGCCAGAATTAAATCCAAATAGTCACAAATAATGCTGAGCTATTAGAGGGTGGACAAGGAAAACAGGAACATATTAGTCTTCATTAACACAATTTTATAAAAATGTTAAAAGTAACACCTCTGATACAGCGGCATAAAAAACCCCATGACAGTTATTTCAGAGTTTTTGGAACATATTTTAACGTGAGTTCGGTGTAAATGGTTTATAGATCATTTAAAGAAATCATGGCAGGAAAAAAGATTATAATAGTATCTAATCCCTCGTGCATCGCGGCAATGTGATTTTACCATATTTTCAAAGCTTTGGAATGTATTTCCCATAATGTTCGAAGGTCTTTAAAGTCGCGAGATTTCCCAGACGTTCTTTTTTTTTGTTGCTTTTTTTGCTTGGGCAGATGAGTTGCAAATTTAAAAAGCAGCAGTTCATCACTTGAAAGCCTGAATGGTTAATGACTTGCAGTCGTGCATCACTTCCTGCTCACTTGCCACTTTGCCAACAGCATTTTTCTTTTTTTAAACAAATCAGCAAAAACATATTTATTGCCACCTTTCTACCAAATGACACACAGAGGAAATGTGTGGTGCGTCCGTGTAAAACAAACAGCTGGCCTTTACTCACCACAAAGCAGAAGAAGAAGCTGATTTTGGCCACATCGGTGATGGTTAGTTTGCCCACTGTGCGTAACATGGCCTCGTGGTCCTTGGCGGCTGGGTAGGACATGCGGGACAGTTTGGCCTCCAGGGCTTGAGTTGAGGGCAACTGACGCACCTCCATGATATTACTAAAACGCACCCGCTGCTTTTTGGAAGCCGCTGAGAAGCAAAAATGAAGAGAGGGGTCAATTAACACGGGCAGACATTTAGTTCAAAAGGTCCAAACAGTATTATTATTTTGAGACTATCACACTTCGGGTGGTAATGCCTGGATGGGGTGAACACAACTCGTTTTAAAATGATTTTATAAAACTTAACAACGCTTGCAATACAAATACAATAGAAACTTTCTGAGAAACAGATCTGCTCTATGATCTATTTTCATAGCTCACCACTGCCCTCTGTGGTTGAAATGTTACTTTTCATCACCGAGATCGAATTCATGAGGCGATCAATCAAATATCAGTCATAACATCAACATACTACTGTGGTCTTTGTCAACTCATGGGGGGGGGGGGGCACTGACAACATCGACTGTGTACTTACAGGATTCACAGTCCCCGATGAGACAATTTGAGTGCTCGGCGGGTACGTCCTGGAACTTCATTGGAACATACAGTGGTTCACTCTGAACACCAGTGACAGAGAAAGGAAAAGGAAAGAAGTTGTTTAAGTGTTGATCTGCGCACAATGTCATTTTGTTCAGTACTTGTGATTGTCATGCTCAAAGCTTTGTCAGTGTTTAGACAATTCGGTCTCTCAACTGCCAAACCAACTGTAAAAAGAAAACACTTGGAATGCTGCTCTACAGCCTCCAACTAGTTCACGTTTAAGACTCGTAACTTTTTCACAATTAAACTACGTACCAAACCGTTGTTCATGGACGTGTCAGTGGTGCAGGCTGCAAAGTAGGCCTCTGCATCAGCAAACTGCAAAGAGAGGAAATTCAAACAATCACCTTACAGACCAAGATAGCTAAAAAAAATAAAACACAGTCAAGTAGAGACCATCTTGCGATGAGATCACACCGGCAATGCTGTCTGATCAGACCATTGACCAGTAGCCATTTCATTTTGAGCTCCACTACTCACATTTATGGTTTCACGACTGCATCTTATACAGTTTTTAATCTATCGCAGTGATTACATCCGGATAGACAGGGACAGGGCCAATCCCACGCAGATTCACAAGGTGAAAACCGTACGAGCACTGCTGTCGCGGAGGGTAGTGAACCCAAAAGGCACGGTTTGTCATTCTGTATGATTGAGGTTGTGAAATACAGGGCGATATAAAAGAGATGTAGAGTGTGCTTTGGCTACTTACAAACGCAGAGTGCCGCCGTTTCAGGGTGCCAGTGCACTGCTGCCTCCAGGGCCGCCACAGCAGGAAACCCAGCAAGTACAGCACAAACATGGAGGTCTTGGTGAATGTGCTGAAGAAGGGTTTGTTGTACTCCTGTCGCTTGAAGATGTACTGCATGAGGAAATCAACAGGAGGGAGCCGTTAGGATGAAAGCTTTTCGAGGTTAACTAAAATGTTCCAGGCTAGACAGTTTTCCCTCTCGAGCAATCCGGTTCTTTTTCTTCTCAAGTCCCTGTAGGTAAAAAACAGTTCACCCTCAGAGGAAAGGATGTTACCAATTATATTTACTTACATACAACGAGACACTTGATATTTCAGTTTTTCCGCATTACATGTTGACATGATCATGGTTTAGTCATTCTTTTTGAAATTTTAGACTAGAAGTGGCTGCTGGATTCCTCTCGTCCTACATGTGTGGCTACTTACAACCTTCTTTTGAAATGGATCCTCGGTTTATGCTTTACACTGTAAAATGGCCCATTGTGTTAGGTATCCAGCAGCCCATAGAGTAAGAAGATCCCTTCTCTCATTTCCCAGATGTGTTCACAGTTGTGTCATCTCAGATCCTGCAACCAACAACGCAGCAGCAGGGGAGGAAAACTGATTGAAAGTGTCCGAGTCCTTACTGAGGTTAGCTCTGAGGAGGCTACCCAGATGACATCCACCAACAGGAGTATGGCCACCCCCAGGGCCATGCGCCTTCGCTGGGCCGCAGAACTGCCCTGAGAGCTCATTCGGTTCATGATGAACACCCACTCCATCAGGACACTGGTAAGACAGGCATGGACGGAGAAGAACATGTTGGAGCTACACAATGTACAAGCACAAGCACGCATAACAAATAGCTTCTTAAAAGTGTGGATTTACTGCTTTTCCTTATTTTATGTAATTGTGATTTGAAAGTCCTTGTGTCTGTTCAGTTAGAAAGGGGACATTGAAAGTTTCACCTCAGCCTCTAAGTAACTGAATGGCCATTTTCTATAACTTTATAGTGGAAGGAAGCAATCGATCCCTTAATTGAAATTGACCGCAAACCAGCGCATTCATAGCAAATGGGTGTAAAAGCTGAGAGCAACTTTCAGATATTTTTTTAACATTTAATAACGTACCTGTTTACCAGCTGATTTTACACACCGAAATATTTCTTCCAGATGGGGATTCAGATTCCATGAAGCCCTGCCACAAAAAGAGATACAACACAGGCGTTACATCTTCATGCATATATGCATTTCATGCAGGAGGTCTTTGGCTGCATCAGAGGAACATACTGACTCTCTGATGCAGCCAGACCTCCTAGACATACACACACACACACACACACGTTGGCATTTCAACCTGTGATCAGTGGGAGTAACGTTAAAGAAGCGAGCGTAGCGCCAGCTAGCTAAACGCCAGCTGTTGGTGGTCCACAGTAAACAACTCAATGTAAAGTACGGCTGCCCGTTGCTAGGTTACACATTTCAAGATAACACATTCAAAAAGAGCCTCATCTGACCACGAGAACCTTTTTCAAACCCTCAAAGCTAGCAACACAGCTGACAGGCTAACGAGTTTACCAACGTTAGCTATTAAATGGTTGCAGACTGGAAGTCAAGCACCACGCTGGAGGCTGCAGCTCGTTGCAACGTTATCGCCAGGTCACCGACAGGAGTTGGTTCAAGTCCAGCTAACTTATGTAGTTGCCGTTTGCCAGTAATCGATATGCTACGTCGACTTGTTTATCAACATCAGATAACTACCACTGACTAGCTAACCGCTAACACGCTTGCTTGATCAAGTGATCAAATGATTAACTTTACCTGGATACCGGAAGAGATCATTGAGTTTGTCCCATAATACACTTACTGTCAGATAAGCTGCTAAAATATCGACAAAATTCCAGTTTTTACGACAGAATTATTGACAGCAAAGTGGTTGTAAACATTAGCACACCCACTCCTCTTCGTTATCAGGTGACTTCACTTACGTGCTGCACAGACTTCTGGGATATGAAGTTCTTAAAGTGGCGCCTATTGTCAAAGAATTCATACGTCTTTTTAAAAATCTGATAAATGTGATTCATTCATTCCTTCTATTGAAATACTAACCTGTACATGTTGACGTTACTGCTGATAATACAATATATCAATAACTCCACAATGATATGCTTCAATGTATTTGTTACTGTTTTCATTAAGCATATTATTGAAAGAACGTTTTGTAAATAAAAACAACTTTACTACGGGCAATTTGAAATGTATGCATAGTGTAAAGTCTCTCACATTGGATTCTGGTATATTTGGTATAGAAGTGATCCAAGTCCTCTGGCAGCAAGGCCCTTATATTGAAATGGTCATATATTAAATTTTGGAAATATAAATCGTAACAAAGGTGTTATACAAAATACACAGTACACCAAATATAATCATTTCTATTACACGCTTTGTATGACAAATTAAGCATTTTCCCTTTATCATTTATAAAACAAATTCGCTTATATTGTTTATACAATTTTTCCATTTAATTCATCGATGGAATACCACGCAAAACTATCCAGTTTGATTCAAATTCAGTTATTCTGTTGAATGACTTGCGGATTATAAACACACAGTGAACGAAGTATCTAATTACAAGATAACGATAGTAACACATTTAGTGTGTAATAACGGACCAAATCTCTTCTGCAACAGACATCACGTGTCCACTGGGCGGCGCTGCTTTTATGTGGTCCTTTTAAAACAGTAGAAGAAGAGCAACACGGCTTTTCCAATCAAACATGGCAGCTTCCCTAAGAAAGCAGAGTTGATGAAGAAGTTGTTGACAATATAAAAACCTACGGCACTATTTAGTCTATCACATTGGTCGCGTTTCATTTCTGTTACTACAACAAAGCAAAGAGCTATTGCAGTGGTAAGTAAGCATCATAGCTGCTGTAATGTTAAACCAGCGGCAGAGTTAGCATAACGGTTAGCATGTGGCTACCGCGCTAAGGGCTCATTTATACGTTAAGCGTTTTGAACATTGTTACTAAGGCCTCGTTAACTTACAGCTACTGTGCATTTGAGTGTTTAACGTGACACAAATATTAAAAACGTCATCAAATAACCTCCCTGTTAACTGCGCGTATGTGTTGCACATTAAGCCGCTTTCAACAGGATCCTGAGGAGCATGATGTCCACATAGTTGAAGTAGCAGAGCAATATCATGGAGTTTACTTCAGAGGAGGAGGAGGGAACTCAAATCACTCCCAATGTCGTGGACATGACCACTAGTGAACGGGTAAGCGGTTTGTATCCTCGTCATGTGTTACTACACGTTTTGGTAATTCTGTCTGCAACCATTTAAGCTGAGGCTGAGTAGAGATGAACCTGTTGGTGGAATTGGCATTAGTCCCCGAATATTCTCACTGCATTAGTTGTATCTGGCTGATCGAGCTTTGCATTCATCCACAATTCAGCTGTCTGCAAAGGGCACATTGACACCACAATAAGTGTCATGGTCAATTCAAAAGTGATGTTTGGAGCTGCTGATGAAAAGTCACTCAGTTTCTAAGGTCTGCCAGGTGTTACATGTGTTACAAAAACCACAATATTAACCTACTGGTGCAACTGCTGTTCTTAATTTCTGATTGTGTTGCACATAAGCAGGGCCCACTTTATTGTTCTGGGTTGTGTAAAAATAAATGCCTGTAAAGGGAGAAGTTAATTCAGTTTGCCTGTTCTGTCGCAGGTGGTGGATCTGCTGAACCAGGCTGCCCTCATACCCACAGAAGAAAAGCTTACTGTGCTGAAACAGGTTTGTGGTCTTATCAAATTCGGTTTTTGCCTTCTTATTTATCTAGTTGTTTACATGATTGTTTGCTGGTTGTTTTGTTGTCTTTGTTTCCTAGTTCTGAAGAAAATAAATATGTACAAAAGAAAATGTTCATAATAATGTGAGACTTTTATCAATGAAAATTAGTCTGACTGGATCACTGGATGTTCTCTGCAGGGTTGCGCCTGCTATTGGAGGCCTATTTCAAGAGGCATTCTCCTCCCCTTCCTCTATATTTTGCGAGGGCCCGGTCACTGCTTACTGTGCCTTGCGCCGCCCCAAGACGATTGTGGGAAAAAACGACAAACAAGCCATAATGTTATTTATTAGTATCACCAATTTGGCAAAATGAAAATGTGTGCCACTTTTGTTTAGTGGAGATCGCTGTAGCTACGCTAAAACTAATACAGCACCCTTTTCACATCTGTTAAAATAACAATCAATGTATTGCAACTATGTCCTTTATGCTTCCCTGTTTTCATGCATTTAATGACATGTGAGGCAAACTACAGCCATACGAAGCAAAGATCACCAATGCGGAATCAATTGACTCACATATTTTTTAGGTCCAGGAGCTCATCATTAACAAGGATCCCTCTCTTCTTGACAATTTCTTGGATGTAAGTATGTTTTCACTTGCATATGCAGCTCTCTTATCGAACTGTTGTTGTAGTTTGACCCTAAGTAAAACTATTTGAATGCATAAGCTGTATTCAGAATAAAATGGCCCATTGGGCAGAAACCTTCTGTTGACATTGTCAAAAAACAGTAATTCATAATTCTCCTCCGTCGGCCTGTTCATCCTGTAGGAGCTGATTGCCTTTCAGACCGACAAGTCTATCGAAGTGAGAAAATTTGTCATTGGCTTCATCGAGGAGGCATGGTGAGTTATTAGACATGCAAATATTCTTGTCATGGCTCTAAATTATGTTAGAGAAGGAAAGAATTTTGCAGGTATCTCAGTCTTTCTTTGAAATGTTGTTCCCAGTAAAAGGGACAATGAGCTCCTTCTCAGACTGGTCGCCAATCTGAACATGCTGCTGAAGGATGACAGTGTGAACGTGGTGAAGAAAGCTATTCTCACACTCACCCAACTGTACAAAGTTTCTCTGCAGGTAAATGCATCTTACTTGTGAAATACTTTTCCAAAAATACGTTTTTGGAGCGCTGTGAAAGAGTAAATGTTGTAGATTTGAAGTCTGTTTTAGAAAAGTACATACAAAAACTCTACAGCCAATATCTGTTGCCTTTTCAAACCCTTTACTTCTGTCTCTTCCTTGCCAGTGGCTGGTGCGTTCTAAAGCAGTATCAGAGAGGCAGGAGTCTTGCTGGGATATGGTCACACAGATGAAGGACGATGTCCTGGCCTTACTGGACTCTGAAAACGACGGCGTTCGCACCCACGCCATCAAGTTCACAGAATCATTAATCATCACTCTGTCACCGCGGACGTCCGACTCCGACGTTCCCAAACGTCAGGAGAGCGACACCAGCCTGGACAAAGTTCCCAGAGATCACTCGTATGTCCGCTACGGTATGTTAGGAATCCTGCTTTGTGGACAACCCTTTGAATCCTGTTCGTTAAAGCCCTCTTCTTTCGACTGATATGCTGATGCTGAATCAACAGGTGTGCTGTGTGAGGAGGGAAAGAATGCACTGGAAAAGCTGCTGAAGTTCATGGTCCATCCGGCAATTTCTAGCATTAACCTCACCACTACACTGGGCTCCCTGGCCACTATCGCCCGCCAGAGGCCGATGTTCATGTCCGAGGTGGTGCAGGCGTACGAGACGTTGCATGGTAGGTGCTTCTCAGCCAGCCAGTGTCATGGTCACAATCTCAACAACGGCATTTAGAAAGAAGTGTGGCGGATGTTGACACAAAACATGTATGCTCAATACATCATTATTTGCCGTACATCATATAAAATGAAATGCTATTGTTCTTTAATCCTGTTAGCAAACCTGCCACCCACTCTGGCCAAGTCTCAGGTCAGCAGCGTGCGGAAGAATCTGAAGCTGCACTTGGTGGCGGTCCTCAAGCATCCCTGCAGCTTGGAGTTCCAGGGTCAAATTGGCACTCTGCTGCTGGACCTGGGAATGCCCCAGAGTGAAATAACACGCTCCACCCCAGCACCGCGTGAGCAGCGCAAAAGACCTCGCCATGAAGAATACACAGAGGGAAAAAAGGTCAAGCTGGGTGAGTAGATGAAAGCAGTCACATGCATTTGATTTAACGTGGACATGTGGGTTTTCTGGACTTTGAAATGGCTTTAAAATAATCAAAGAGAATGCGAGAATCAGTGTGGTTTATCCATTAGGGTGAGTTTACATCACATTCAACACCAACTTCCAAACGAAATGGTTGGACACGCGCAGCTTGAGTGCAAACATGAGTATTCTTTCATTTGCATGCAGAGCCGGCCCTGAATGAGGATGACGAGGACAAAGAGGAGCCAGCCCAGATCTCGGATTCCAAACCAGCCGCCGTTCCTGTAGCACAGTCTGCCATTGACCTCACCGCCGAGTTCTTGCGTCCACTGCTCTCCCCAGAGAACGTAGCCAACCTGGTGAGCATCAGTGTCTCTTTCCCCTTTTTATTTCTCTCCTTTAAGCCCCACTGTGTGACAGTTGAGCTCATACCTCTGTCTGGTTGCGTAGGTGCTGATCAGCATGGTGTATCTGCCTGATGTCATGCCGGCATCCTTCCAGGCCACGTACACACCTGTTGAGTCAGCTGGCACCGATGCCCAAATCAAACATCTGGCCAGGTTGATGGCCACGCAGATGACTGCAGCTGGGATTGGTCCAGGTTAGTGAAAAGGACATCCAGCATGACAAATTCGTGAGAATTCGTTTTTGCGTTTCGATTCGGGTAGTTTACCGATTGCATATTGCAGAAACTACAAATAATAAAGGTTTTATTTGGTGAGAAATTGGTATTGGTAT